CTTTTCTTCATCTCAAAAATCTAAGATTTGATTTGTGTAATCTCTAAAACCTCCTAAATACATTTCAATTCTTTGTTTTCACTAAAACTTTATATTTTGTCTGTTATGAGTTTAAAGCTACTTAGGATAAACTAATGTAGTTTCATGTTACAATTTGAAGCCATTCTAGAAAGAAAAAAGGGTAATTTAGGTTTATTATTTATTTTTGTGGTAATGAGGTCTGTCAAATTGACAAATGTTGTATAGAGTTAGGGTAGAGAAAATAACAGACAAAATATAAAGTTTTAGTGAAAACAAAGAATTGAAATGTATTTAGGAGGTTTTAGAGATTACACAAATCAAATCTTAGATTTTTGAGATGAAGAAAAGTATTTTTAATCTTAACATGAAAATCACTTTGCACATGGGGCTATTCAAAACAAATATTCGATATATTCACGGATAAATCTTTAGTAAAAATACTTCATTAAAAAAACTGATTTTTTTGTGTACAAAATACATGTAATGTGTACTAAAAGCCTGCCAAATTTTGTGAAGATACACTTACTGTATTTTACTATATATAAGTAAAAATGGTCCCAACCCTGTATTGAGAGAGTTAACACATAAATCTGCTTTTGTAATAGAATTGATAGAATATTAAAAACTAATCGCATTAGAAACCAGAGGGGCACCCAATAGAGCACATACCTCCACCATGCAGCATTGATCATATTCAGCTCTCAAAAAATAAGAAAATATGTCCATATGTCTGTCATTATCAACAGACACGTACTATTTTTGACAGGACAATGAAGAATAATATTCTACACATGTCCACCAAGTTTCATCAAAATCTGATATCATTTTTGATAAAGTTTTAAAACAAAAATAGTGTGAAAAATCAATTCCCATGTTAACAGATAGGGATTTTTTTTATTCTCATGACATTGCATACCAACTTTCATCCAAATCCATTCAGCTGTTTTCGAGAAATCTTGCTGACAAACAAAAACACGCACACACACGTTTGAAAATATAACCGCTCTCCACCTTCGGATGGCAGAGGTAATAAGGCCACTGTATTAGTGGGGAATCATCTATTTGTCTAACAGATATAATAACCAAGTAATGCTTTTTAATTTCTATTTTTTGTCTTCTAATTAATAATACAATCTATCTGAAAAAAAAGTTTCTTTAAGTTTTTCTTTAGAGAGAGAATGATATAAAAGTTAGTTTCATTTCATACAAAAGGAACAACTATAACCATCTGTATCAATCATAATATTTGATTTCATATTTCATCTCTTTGGTGCAATTAATGCTACTTTTGTTGCAAAAGCCGTACATCATCATTCTAAAGTCAACCATACTATTTCAGACTGTATTTAATGTTGTTATTCTAATCTGATGCTTCTTGTCATATTATTTGTGCTAAATAAACAATAAAATGTTAAGTATTAAATCTTTTCCTTTGTGTATGTAGTGAGTAATATTGTGACATTTTCAGTATTATTAGAATAATGGGACATGTTTTATTGTAATGTTTCTAATACATCATTGTACTTTTTAATAACAAAATAATTTTAGGCTAACTAATGTTCTGGGTGAAGTTAGAACTAGGGTGTTTTCACTTTGGGGTGATGTAATTTAACATATAAACCGTACTATTAATAACAGATGAGAAATCTCTTATCAGTGAGTGACAGTGACTATGAGAACACCTGTTTAAGTCCCTGTTTCTGATTTTTCTTACATCAACTTACAATTTCACATGTTCTAGAATTCTACACTCCAGTTGAGCTCCTCTGTATCATAAAATCTTTTTATATATGTGCTGATTTCAAAACATCATCTCCAAAGAACCAGAAATGAAAGTTGTTTCCCATCCAGTTTTTTGTAATTTTTTCTGTTAGCCCCAGATAGAATACTAATGTTTTTGTTCTTTTGTTTTTTTTCAACAGTTTAAGTTTACAAATCCATTTGTAAAATATGAAGGGGAGTTTTGAGCTATTTTCTTGAGAATTGACTATTTTGATGTTCCAATGTATTAAGAATTTTTAAAAATGACAATTATAGTATGATATATATATGTATGTGTTGGTTACTAATCACCTCTTACAATAAGTATTTTATTATACCTAATTACAATAACACAAAGATGATTTTAATTACTGACAGCCACATCCTCCATGACAGTTGTTCTTACTTTTACATAAAGATGAAATGACTGTCAAATAAGTGCTTTGAGAAAGAAAACTTCTACTCAAATTTTATTTTTTTGTTTTTGTAGACTTACTTTTTTTAAAGCTGGAAAAAAAAAGCTGTTAGGATTCCTGCCCTATCTCCTAACTTCTGAATTAATCCATTATTTTTAATTCTAAGTAAGTTAAAAACAATGGAAGGAAATAATTTCAACTCAAGAACATTTTAATATATTTTAGTCATTCAAGATATACATTATAGAAAAAATTAAACAATTTATAGTAAATTATTTAAATGGCAAAAAAAACTCGGTTACTGCATTTTTAATACCAATCTTTCATCAGAAAATAAAATTAAAAATTTCTATATATGAACCTAGAATATCAATTTACATAATGTTGCCCCCCACCTCACCCAGTGGCACAGCGGTATGTCTGTAGACTTACATCTCTAGAAACCTGGTTTCGATACCCATGGTGGGCAGAGCACACGTAGCCCATTGTGTAGCTTTGTGATTAACTACAAACAAATAAATACATAATGTTAATATTTCAATAAGGGTCATTAAGATATATTCAGTGTTTTCTTACTAAAAAAGTTTGTACATTATTAATGGGTATTTTAAGTCTTCAATATGCTG